TCCCCCCCCCCCCTATCGACATGCCTGAAAAACTCAACTATTTAAGTAGCCATTGCCCAGCTCTGCAATTAATAGTTTGAAATTGTAAATCTTTTCAAGCTTAAATAAGACTCGAGTGTGTTGTCACCGTCTTATAAACTGTAAAACATCAAATTTGATTCAGCAGAACCAATTTTGTGTTGTTATCATAATGTAAATTGTAGATTGATTCAACTTTAAAACTCGGGTGGCAACAGGTCTGTCTGCTCCGTCACAAAATGTACCTACCAACTTAATGTTTTTTTTTAGTAATCAAATATTCTTAAAATATATGTTTATACTACCCAATACCCATATAGTAGTTTTATATTTCACAACTACAAGAGCACAATATTTAAGATTTTGAGGCTCGGGTATCATAAATAATTAAATAAAACAGTCTCACACTGTCCCTCTCTATGCGTGTGCCTACCTATACTCAATAAGACAGTAGGATAGCCGATAGGTCGACATAATTTATTCATCACTTTCATTTGCGCCCCTTTCTTACATTTAGTAATTAATATGTAATGGGTACATTCTAATATTTTATACATCTATTAGTTATTACTTAATTTAAAAATATTTATCTATTTATACCGAGAATTTGAAACTGTAAATTGTCCAAAATTCGTTTGTAACACAATACCTACATTAGACAAATGTCGTTCAATATAAATTATTGAAACATTTTAAAATCTATTTTGATACAAGGAAGTTTGAAGAAAACTCTCAATCTTCATCATTGCAGTGATTAATATTTCGCATGCCGCAGAGCTGATCAAAAATGTTAATTATAATTAAAACATTTAAAAATTAGGATAAACCTCAGTATCCGTGATCAACTTTATATTTGAAAATTAGTATTTCTATGCAACATACAGTTTATTACCACAACAATTTCTTATCATTCTTTTTTCATAATTGTTAGACAAATAGCTGAAACAAAATTGTTTGTAAAATATTTAATAATTAGATGAAAAGAAAAAACAATTTTACCATAGATTAGATAATTAATTGAATAAATAATATTTAATAATTATTTATTGTCCATTCTTAATCAATGATATATTATAAAGGTATATTTTTGTGGGGGCTAAGCTCCTCTTAGTCACCACCTAAATTATGTCTATGACACTATGTATATAACATAAGGTACACTGCTCCTATAAATGATTCCTGACACATTGGTCATTAACATTTCAGAACTGATTTGCACAAAATAATGAATATTTAAAAATTATTTATAGAGTATATTATAATTAAATTTAAGTTATAAATTGGTACTTCTTCTCAAATAAATAATAATATATCAAAATAATATTGGTTATTTTATTTTTTGAATGTATTAATAATTTATTTAAATAATAAATACTAAATATTAATTCATAGACCTAATCTAGCCATCTAGGGATCTTAACTAATATATTCAATATAATATATAATTCTAAAATACTTAGTAATCAAAGGACTGGACGTTTAGCAAGACAAATATTGTATACTTTTCTCTATTGTAGGTTAATTTAGCCATTTAGGCCTACTGAAATCTTAAGGTACGGATTTTTTTAAAATTAATATAATTACAATTTCATTATTTACTTTGATAGTTTCTTTTTAGTTGGTAGCACTTCAGGCTCCATTTCATTTGAATACCTTAGACATGAACTTGATGACCAAAAGAATAATAAATGGATTTTACCCACCCGTACCTTCAGACATCTACTCCATAAAGGTCAGTATTTATGTGTTTATACTATTTACCTAATAAATGATGTTTAGTATGCACAACGCAAAAATATGTACAGTAATTTTTTCAGACGCACCAACATACATATGTGTAATTCGATTATTATTTATTACTAGGGCCCGGATTTATATGGAGTAAACATTTATAAAACATGCAGATTCATATCATAAATATGCAAAATTATTGTATGCGTAAATTATTGATATACATAATAATGGGTTATTTGCAATCAATAGTTGCTATTTGTACAAACCTAAATATGACTATTTTTATGAATAAAGATAGAATTATGATTATTATTATTGTAGAATATGCAACATTTATGCAACTATCCTGAAATATGCAAAAAATATTTAACCATAGAATATACACATTACGAAATGTCAACATTTTTAATCCAAATTATCCTAAGTAAATTGTAGAAGAATATGAATTTGCATAAAAATCCGGGCTTTATTTATTACTATTGTTTATGAAATTTGTTTCACTTTTAAGTCTTAAAAATTACAATAATGTAAGTGGCATCAACATGATTATCAATTTTTTTAAATTTTACTGTATGCAGATAACAAAGTTCATAGATAGCTGCATAATAGTCAACCACAAGTTCAGGCCAAATATATCAGAGATCCTGAGAGTAACACGGAGAGGATTGGCTGAATCTAGAAATACTGCACTTACATCTTAATTTTAGGATGACTAAATAAAGAACCATTATAATATTATTATAGTCTAGATTCTTAATGGACTTAATGATAATAAACTTTTTTTAATGGTATCTTTTCAAGTCTATACAAAATTAAATGGTTTGTCAATAACAGCTTCAGGCATAATATTTTAAACCACCAAATACTTTTGACCGAGAAAAAGCACCTATGATAGAAACTAGTAGTTTTTTTTTTGTACAACCACCAATCAATTAATTTTTTATTATATATTTTATTTATTTTTTATACATCTTTATTAGGGCTAAACAATAAATGTACAACAATTGATTGACGATTTTTCTTTTTACATAATCAAGAATGAAAACGGTTACTAAAATTTGTATAAGCATTTCATTTAACATAATATTCAATATATTTTTTTCTGTATTTATATAATACAATACATATGACAGTATTATCAGCACTCTTGGCATAAAGCAATAGGTATTTGTTATTTTTAAAATAAATAAATTATAACTATAAATTGAAACAAATTTTAGTCCTATAGAACTGATAATAATAATAATTTTTAAAAAATTGTTCTTTATTGTACATACTAGGTATGGTGTTACATCACGACTAATACGTTATGATATTCGAGCCATTTTCATTTTTAGGTATTTTGTTTACCTACATTAAACTACATTTTAATATTATACAGGTTATGTAATTATGATTTAAAATATTTTAATTATATAAATATATATATATATATTATATATCTTTACATACACATACATAATATATTATATGTATATATAAAAATGTACAGAATTGTAAACAATATACCTATTGTAAAAATGCTTACATTATACTTAATGGTGTTACAATATCTAAACGATAAAAAAGGACTATAACATACACTATGATTACACTATTTTCAAGGTCACATTTGTCAAAAATCTCATAAATTGTATGAACAATTTGTTTCATGTGATATTTACTCAAAGAAATATTAAATATTGTTACATCATAAAATAATCTTATATAATTTATTTTGACAAACGTACCTTAAACAAAAAATTTACAAATTCATACTGCACAGCATGGGTATAACCTTTTCAGGATATTAACAAATATTGTCTACATGACTACAGTAAAAAAAAAATACACATAATCTTTAACTTTTATATAATTATATATGTATTTAATATTAATCTATCGACATATTTAATTCATTTTTTTGTTTTTGTGTAATATCTAGAACAATGTCACTGGTGACGTCTGATAACCTTTTATTGTTACTGTACTATAAATTTTAATTAATTAATATTGTTAAAAAAAAAGTTTAGTATTATTTTAATTTAATAGTATTTCACATATCACATCGTTTTTGTTATACATCCCATGAAAACCATATTTTGTTGTACAAGCAGGAATTGTACATAATATTATTAATTTAAATAGGTATCAGATTACCAGGTTTGTGCTATTCAACACCAAATTGCTTAGCTTAATGCCATTACTTAATTAAACAGTAACATTATGTTTCCTGTAGTAAACAATGATTATGGCATTACGAAAATTTACTCTGAATTATTAAATTATGATTTTTACATAATAGCAATAATATATACATAATATATATATATATGTATTATGTATATATAATTTAGAAAATAAGAATTATGTAAAATGCAATAGTAATATTTTGTTTGTATGGAATATGGAAATGTACAAATGCTAAAACTGACTTTGTTACTCAAAACAATAGCAAAAATACAAATAACATACAGAGCTGTTGATTTCTTAAAACACAATTTGTATCAAAACGTTTAGTAAATACATATATATGAAACAATTTATTAAACAGCTTACTTATAAATAATTTTCTTGTTGAATAAATTATCTACTCAACATATCCAACATTTATACATATGCTTGCACGGAAAACGTTAAAAACCCCAAGTTTTACAAGATAGGTGGGCCAATATATATATATATAATACACGTATATAATTTTTAGAAAATATTACACAAAGCACTCTGCTGATTCTATATCATCAGAACTAGTTGTAGTGATTAGTAACAACAATTTTTTAATTAGCGAGACCAATTACGTAATATATATATATGAGTATTATAAAGAAATGCATTAATAAAAAAGATCTTCGTTCATACGATGTCTCTTTGTTATATTTATACTTAACATATTATACATATATTATATATTACACGTGAGAGTTAATTCTCATAAGATATGATGATCTACAATGTATTAATATAATATTATAATAATAAATACGCTCTTACTAGAAAATCGTAAATTTAACTTATCGAAATATTATTATCATTGTAAATATTTCAACACTTCAGCTCTAAAACGGTAGATCATCAGTCAGGGGTTAGGGGTGATTGCCACAAATCTCGCTATATCACATACAATTTCGGGCATTTTAGAACAAACGTACATATTAATATGAATATAAAAATAGTAATAATATTTATTGGTTAAGACTGTAATCGTTATACATGGTATTCAAGCTACCAATTACAATATTACTTCTGATGTCGATTGTTTTATTATTATAATATTATAAAAATGGCATGTAAATTATAACCCCCCCCCTTTAATTTCCACGTACTTGAATATTACATTTCTACAGCGAATTAACTCAAATTGTATTCACGAGCATTATTTAATTTAAAAATAATAATTAATCTTAAATTTACACATGAAAAAAAAATAATAAATAAATAAATAGTATTAAAACTAATGGGCATGTGGACGAAAGTATATCCAAAATACCCAAGACACCCCTGAAGAGGAAAATGTTTGGTAGTTTAGTAAAGCACATGTTTGCTAACCGACGAATAAACTGTTAGTAAATAATGTATGATTTGTATAATTCAATTATCTATTGGAAGTAAGTACATAAAGAAATAATTATTATAAATGGCATAGGTTTAAACTATACTTAAGTGAAAGTAGAATAATTTAAAAATCGGTGAAAATCATAAAATTCTGGTTGTTTACATTAAAGTAGTGTGGTTGGGGGTGGAGAGGGGCGGTCATTTCTAACGATATTTGTTTTATTTAAATTTATTCTTACAGTAAAAATCAAAACTATAATATTAGATTATCGAAAATGAAAATAAATCATAACGACGATAAATTTAAAAAAAAAAAATCAAATCAAATTAAAAAATAAAATTATCATAACGAAAACGAAAATCATTTGAAAAAAACACTTTTTTACAAAATCGATTTGTCGGAACACATTTTGTGTCTGTCTTGGATCAACGGTTGGCGGCGTACAAGACATTCAACCGCTGTTCCGTCTAGACATTTTTGAAAACCGTTTTATTTTTCCGGTATTTATAGATTTGTGTGTATTTATATGTACGTATTTGTATGATGCAACCGGGTCGTAGCTGGCCGTGGTAGTCGACGAGCGTGTTCGTTGTTGTTGATTATAAACAAAATATTATAAAAATATACATAATATTTCAGACATAATGATAAAAATAATAATAATAATAATAATAATAATAATAATAATATAATAATCATATATTATCGTTATTGATTCGCGCTGCTCCCGTTCTCGTCTGGTCCGTGTGTGCATTTACGTACGCACGTGTGTGTGTTTGTGTGGATGGGCGGGAGGTGTGTGGCTGTGTGTAATTTTTTTTCGTACGAAAACCAAAAAACCTATTCGTCGGTGGACGGCAGGTTTTCGGTGTGTAGTCAGAGCTTTAGATCGTTGGCTATTTTTGACGCAATGTTCTTGAACCCGATGGATGTGCCTGATATGCGCTTAAACCGGACGCCGTTCAGCGACAGCCTGGGCAGCTTGCACACTTCGATCTCCCACTGGACCAGAGAGTCGGTGTTCGGGTCGCCATGCACGCACAGCAACAGGAAACGCTCGCGCTGTTCATAATCGCAGTTGTTGGCGTCCAGCACCTGTGTAGTACGGAAGAGTACGAGAAAGAAAAAAAAACAAAACGGTTAATTGTCGGAGATAGCGTCAAGTTCGTCATGTTAGTGGATTCTGGGACACGACGACGACAGTAAAGCGGAGCAGTCCAACATAATGATTAAAAAAAAACCAGTATTTTCTTATGAAAATGCCACTCCCCCTCAATCTGCGATAAAGGAAAATCGAATCAAGCAGGGTAGTCGGTCAGTGGCGAATTTAACCGTCATTTAGTCAGGGTCAACCAATGCTAATGGAGGCACATTTAAATTATATAGTACATTTAAAAAAAAAAAATGATTACCACAAAAAATAAACAAATTGTATACAGTAAACTGTAATATTATTTACAATTAATAGGTTAGGTCAATAAAAAAAACAATTTCGTAAGTATGTTACTGATACTTTTTGTACGATGAACCCTTAAATTCGTCACTGAGTAGTTCTATTACACTGTCTCCATTTTCCAATTACTTCATCGTGTACGATCGTTATTGATGAGTTTTACTTAAACAGTATTAATTTATTTGGTGAATAACAAGACAATTCTGAACGCGAAACACGACGATAGTGGAATAGTACATTTAACACAATAATGGATTACGGCCAAGGTAAACATCCGAGGTGACAACTGTAAAGGAACCTAATAGGCCGGGACGAAATATTATAATAAGGCGTTAAATATGGGCCAAGAGAACGGACGCAGTGAACAATCAACCTAAATCGTTTTTCCAAAAAGTCAATAGACGATAATTCGGATTTCGATATGATATCTACTTTTATTTTTTTTTCCTGTACTCAGGTGGTGGCATATATATTATAAATTGCATAAACTAGTATTTAGAAAATGATTGTAGAGACCTCAGAGTGACAAATCCAGCCAAATTAACGCGATGACATAATTAGTTTATCCAGTTCATACTGGTGGTTGGCAATTGACGACATTGACATTTGAGTTTATATTGATTTATTTTGAAATCGATATTGGAGAAAACTCGAAGGTTTCTACAAGGTCTACCATATACACCACACTTTATGAGGAGACAACTCACCTCTCTTATTTCGGCCATAATCTCGTTTGGGTCTCTTGTAGACGTCGTTTTCATACTCCATGTGAATCTCAACGATCTGGGTTTCATTTGATCGTCATTCACTGTATTACTGTTTTTAAAAAATTTCAAATTCAGATTATTCAATGAAATATGAATACGGAGTGCATAAAATACGTAGGTAATGTATACAATAATTATTATACTTATAGATAAATATACTGACGGCACAACGATAAACATCATGACCGATATTCACCGTCTGTCCGATTTTGTAATTACGCCTAACATTATATACTATAAATTTACAACAGTATCTCGGATCTATTAACAGTGTTTGTGTTTTTATTAAAAATTATAATGCATTTTAGACTTGAAAAGTTTAGTATTTTAGTGACGTTACAATATAAGATTACATCCGGCTTTTTTTTGGCATATGCTAGTTTTCTAGGATCAGAATTTTGTAGTTATTCATTTATTATTTTACAGAATATTAAATAACAAGAGAAAAAGAAACAATTTGTTTAATGTATATTTCGTATTCTTTACTTAAATCTGAAACGTATAAACCTATTTTTCCATTTTTTTGCACTGTTTACACGGTAATACGCTAATAAATATCTGTCCAAAAGTATTAATTGTGTTGTTTCAGATAATATGAAAAATACAATACATTTTGTTTAATAAAATGCATTTGAAATATTTATTTTAATTTTAATGAAACACTGAACCTTATATTTCAATGGCTTATAATATTATGATATCGGCACTTGGGTATAATAGCGTATTTAGATCTTCTAACAAAAACGCACGTCCACCAAGATTTGTATTTACCTGGCCTACCTAACATTACATCTTAAACAAAACTTTCAACTTTTGAACTAATAATGGTACTGAGTATTTAATATAACATGCCTTTCAACAATGCAAAATTTATAAGACCACTGTTGAATTTTTTGGCATTATTTATTTTAGCATTCAAATTATTAATATCACATTGTATTCTGCTTGAGCAAATTAAGAATCCAAAGATATGTTATAAACATATAACTTTCCTAATATTATCTGACGAGAAGCTTAAACCAAAGGAAATAAGATTAAATAAAATTGTTCGTACAAAATTCTAATGTTTTACTTTTATTTTAGTTTGCATCTAGTATCAATTATAATATGTATATATATAATCAAAACCATTAAAACTTATAAGATATGCTGTAAATTAAATATAATAATATAATATCAACATATCGTCCATAATCATGATTATTATATTTTTTTTATGTAAGGTAATAACAATTAAGTTTTCAGTTTTAAATAAAAATGTATAATAATTAAAAACATCCCACTATAATCCATCATTTATTTGATGAGGGACTTATGAGGCCACTCATGGATATTACAATTTTTTTTACAGTTACAAACAGTTTGTTTTAGAACATGTAAATTTTATATTTTCATTTTAAGAAAATCGAACAAATAAATTTAAAAGTAATTCTATAACTATCAAAATAAAGGAAGAAAAAATAAAATAATAGGATATTGAGTTTTTAGTCATTGCATGACAGGTAAGACTTTTCTAAAAAAAAAAAATAATACAAATACAAATACAAAAACAAAAAATAAAAAACACAACCATGAGTGAATAATTTCAACATTTATGGTTTGTTTAGTTATTATATATTAATACAGTTTAGCTGTCAAAGTTAAAAATTGAATGTATACAAGACATTATATTTGACGTACTGATTTTTTACAAGAAGTGGATACAAGTGGAAAGTTCAAATGAATTCACTTCTTGAATAAAATCTGTACATCACAACTTATCAGACATAAAACACCGGTGTATATGAATAATTAAGATTTAAATAATCACAAATAAAGTAAAAAAATAAATTTAGTAAAAACTATTTAAATCAAATAAAGATAAAATAAAAATAAATCAAACAAATTTTAGAAACCTAAATAATTTTGTTTTTAGACAAAATAAGGTTTTGACCAACATGTATAGTAACCTTGATCACAATTGTGACATAAAATGGTTAATTAAAAGTTCCGAATAAAATTACAATTATTACTTGCTCTTTGTTTTAGTTAGCACAATATAAACATTATGTTAGTAATCGATTGGACTAGCCTAAGTCAGGCAAAATTTGTTTTGATTTTACATACCTAACAATATTATTTTTGGGCAGATTTTGATCCATTGGCCTGAAATAAAATATAAACAAAACTAATAAAATAAACAAAACAAAAACATAAACAAAAATAATAAATAAATAAAATAAATCATAATAAAATGCCGGTTTAATTCATAACACCTGATGACAACTTAAGTGCATACATTACACAAATTATACTGATGAACAATCAATCCATAGGATATTTGCTACACAATTTTTGTCATAGCATAACAGGATATATGTAACTATCTATAAGCTTTAAACTAATCGATGGAATATTATACTAGTTCTCACAGAGACATTGATGTGCTGTTTGGATGTTACCGTATTTGTAAAGCACATGCTCATAAGATGGGTGGAATATTATTTTATACTAAATGATGCATTTATAAAATTGCGCATATGCAGTCAGGCACAACAGGCATCAATGTCATCTGCAAAACTGTGTAGTATTCTTTTACCACAGCTAAAAATGTATGTTATATTGAGAAGGTTCGTCTATTAGTATTAGGTCTACGTTTTTATCCATCATAATTATAAATGGTTATATATTATTTCTATGCATATTAGATACACAACAAATAAAAATAATATTTCATAGGTAATTCATGTTATAATAGAAGTTCTATGCATCGTGCAACTGCCATGCCAATTTATAGAGGCAAAAAAAAAAATGTGTAGTTTTACACAAAAGTTACAATTATGTACATAATTGTTTTAGGGTATAACATACTCAGTTCAAAACACTTTTGGTGTGTTAACTTAGAAAACAAATGTATGCCACATATCAAACAATTTATTACAAATCCAAAGACAATAACATTGGCTTAAAAATAATGTTTGTACACTAAGGAATAATTATAACTAATAATAATAATAGTAATAATAGTAATAATAATAATAATAATAATAATATATGTATCATTGTAGTATACAGTAATAAAATATAGGCCAGAAAACGATTAAAATAATAAAATACATAATTATGCAACAGTTATTTGGGGACTAGAAAATACATAGAAAAAAAAATTGTTATTGGAATTATATTATATATACATATATGTATATTAATTGTTTATAGATATAATATATATGTATATAAGTAGTTTAATTTCAATTTAGAGTCTGTAGAGATAAGTAATACACATACTACCTAGTAATAATAATATAATCAAACACAATGACAAGTTATGTCTTATGCAGTTAAATTAAAAATAAAATAAAATTAATATTACAAAATGCAATCAACATAAATTATGAGGTTTAAATGAGAGAGTAAGTTATTATTGATTTAACTGGACAAAAATGTAACTGTTTATTATAGTCATTTGGAACAATATAAATATGTATCCATACAGAAATATACGCATACACGCACACACACATACACGCGCACACACATACATATATATATATATATTTATAAACAAATATATAACTTTAAAACTTTTAGATCTAAGCATGTCAACGGCGAGTAGCGGCATCCCAGCATAATTGTCTCAAAATAGTTAAGTGCCCGCCTGCCCCATTTTTGCTTGTCTTCTTCATAATTTAGTGGTAGCATGCGTGTGATATATGAATGGATATGGATGTATGATTTTTTATTTGGTATTTTTGTTTCATATTAATGGGGAGTGGTCCTGCACACATATACACAAAAAAGCATCGATCACAAGATGGAAAAAATGACAGAAACATAAAAAAATTAAATAATAATAATCTGTGCAGGGACCGTATCTGTGTGAAAGCTAGCCAATAGATTATTATGTGTTAAAATTTATAAATAAAAATTCTTTTTGAGCTGCCTTTATTGAGACAATTATGCAAGGTTCGCTAATAACACATGTATATATGCAAATCATTAAAATTATTTTATTATTGAATGATATATGGCACACAAAATTGTCCTAAATATGCTAAATAAAACTTAAAAAAAATATTATAATAATAATTAAGACAAGCTTTCACAAGTAAGGCCTCTGCGAGTAAAATGCAATCATTGTTAGTAAGTATATAATTAGTATTTTTTTTTCATTGCAATTTAATTCTAAAAACGTGGAGAAGTGGATGGATGTTAAATTGGATTAAAAATATAAAGAATATTTTTAGTTATGAAATTATAATGCAAGCATTAAAAATAGATTTTGAAATGGTAATAATTTAAAATAGGTTAAATTAATTTTAACCACCTCACTTGTTACATAGGCCTTACAAAATTAAATTCAATATGTTAAAAATCACCTATAAAAAATTTAATTAGAAATTACACTTTAAAATAATTACTTCTGAGACCTATGTTTTCCTTATTTAGAAATTTATGGAAAATGTTTAATCATAAGATCAAGAATTTTTAGGATTTTATCAATTAAAATAATAATTTAAGGAACAATGAATTTTCAACATTAATATAATTATTAATTACACACTTACCGTTTAACAAACTTGGATGATATTTTTGAAAAGAAAGATGGCCTTTGCACGGATGGATCATGTGGGCTGCCAGTATTGTTAGTAGGTCCAACGCCAGTGTAACCTCTATGTCTGTTTTGACCAGAATGGAAGGTCTGGCGACTAGGCACATTCCTCGGGAATGGCTGTCGACTATTGACTGCTGGTGATGCAGGTGATACAGTAACACCCCTATATAATATCAATAAGTAAATTTAAATCATTGTAAAATAACAATGTTCTCATTAACCATATGAATATGCATACATACACACTCACACAACTATGAGTGGAAAGCTAAGACCATACAGATTATGATATGACAGTAAAATTAAAAAACTGATTATAAGTTAGACATTGACTGTCATTAAATTTAAAATAAATTGAATTTTCACGGTTAAACACATTCAGTAGGTGAAAAGATAAAAATCATTGTCTGTTTGTACCAAATGTATTTAAATTACCAACAAGACAAGTTTTTGATTTATAATACAGCATTATTAAATTACAAGATTTTTCAGTTTTTTAATAATAATATCAGTCATCAAATAATTTTATGCAATAGTTTCATTCATAAGACGTCAATTTATAAGAAGCTATAAAATGACAAACTCTCTTCATAGTGAAATTGCCAGTTTCTTCCCAATATTTGAAATTTATTAGTAGCAAAACAATAGTACAAAAACATGCAAACCTAACTAAATAATCATTAATAGTTGTAGAAGCTTTTTTTAATGTTAAATATATTAGTATCATACAATTGAAAATTATTAACATAGCAATGAGATTATTACTATTATAAATTACCATTTATACATCCATGATTAGTTAGAATTTTAAAAATTAATAATAGTTAGCAATCCAATTATATTGATGGACGGACAACACAAGTGCATGCACAAATATTTAGGTTCACGAGTAGTATTATCATAGAATGTACATTTGGCAGAATTTAAATTATCCCAAAGTAATAGGAAGCAGAGCAGAAAATATTTTATTTTACTAAATGGATTTTGAAAAGAAAAACTCTAATCACAAAGAGTATTTTTGAGGAACAATATGTTCAAGAGTTTTCAAATGTTTAAAATGCGTACAATACACAACATGCATTTGATACGATCTAAAAGACGGTATAACAATCTAGCCACAGTTATAAAATTATAACGGGAGGAATACCTCGGGTGGGCAGGAGGTTCTGTGGTATGTTCTGTGGCACTAGACACAGAAGCAGATTTGACGTGACCTTTGGATCGTGTATCTCCACATCCAGAACCAGAATTAGGTACAGCCAACGCACTAAACCCGATTACCAATGCATTGCAAACATTAATTCAAAATTATCATCTTACCACCAATAATAATGAATAGAATAAAATGAATGAACAAATGTTTGTATTATAATAACAGAAGATTAATCAGTGTTAAGGAGAAACAAGAAAATATAAACAAAAAGTTATTTTACATAACATTATTATGATTATTATTATACGTGTGTTCATTTTTAAGTGTGATCTTTGTCAAAGGTGTACCTTGCTGGATCCATTACGGGAGGAGTTGATACAGCTGCTTTAGCATCATAACTGATTGTACTCCTTCTACCCACAGACCCACCAGGAGCCATTGACCGTTGTTTTGTTCCTAAGAAAACAATTAATAGTTAGAACAAGAATTGCTTGATAGATGTTATAAAGAAGTATAGAAATCTAATCAATAATAACAAATACAACAAGTAGACATGCCTATCATATTTTCAGGTCTAGAATTTAGTCGAGCCGTATTTTCTTTGATGCTGGCAGCATCAATAGTATTTTGACGCTTGAAATTAGTACTTGGAATGGCCACATTATGATTGTGATTGGTTGAATTAGTGGTACCTAAGGACACTCATTTATCAGATACAATAATAATTAAGGACAACATTAATTTGTTTGAAAAAATGCAACTATGTTTTAGGCAATTAATTGGAATATTTAAAAATTTAACAATACTCAACTATTACTTGTTTTATTTGTAGAGTTATGGGTTGTTTGTTGATTGTTTGGCGTATTATTGGTAGCAGGAACATTGCTAGAATTTGGATGATTTGTGGTCAAAGCGGAAGTCTCACCACCAGATGAAGCCCTTCTGCTAGGTTTGGAATTGGTAGCAGATATTGATCTATGCACACCCCGATGTGATGGCGACTGATTAGTATTGTTCACGGCTGATACATTGTTGGTGTTATTTATGCCTGGATTTGGTCCGGTGATTCCTCTTAATGATAATGAACTACCAGATCGAGAACCATCACTTTCCGGCTATATATGACAGGAATAATATAAATAATTAGTTAAATTAAACTCTATTACTTGAGTATCATAACACAAATACTTACATCATTAGACTTTCTTCCTAGTAACAAATAAGTGGCAAATATGTCATCATATTTAGCTTGAGATAAACTCTCTTCTATTTCTCCACGGCTATAACCCATGCCAACTAATATTTCTGTAACTCGGCAGACTAGAACAGTACAATTGAAGGAGTGCTTTAAATATACATTTTAAGTATAAATGAAGTAAGTAATGAAACATTTAACAGTTTTATAGATAACAGTGAATTTGAGGCATTGATTAAATTACCTATTCGTTTTGGTTCTTTGAAATCTTGTTCAGGTTCTACATAAGGTTTTAATTCATCTTCCTCACAGCCCAAGTTCATCCATTTGTCTTTCATGATAACCTGTAATATATTTTCAGAATAATAAAAATAGTTAAGGTGATTCGAAGAATATGGTTTCAATCTATGTGGTATACAAGTATATTTTACAATATTAATTAATGAATATGTTTGTTTTACAACAAAATGTATATTTTACCTCTAATGATGCTCTTTTAAGTGGATTTAAAACAAGGAATTTTTTCAATAAATTTTCACAATCTGTTGACATGTAAAACGGTATTCTATATTTGCCACGCAATACTCTTTCTCTCAACTCTCTTAAGGTAGAACCGTCAAAAGGCAGAGAACCGCTAACCAAAGTATACAAAATAACTCCTAATGACCAAACATCTACTTCTGGTCCATCATAACGCTTTCCTGTAAAAAATAGTTTTAAAATGAGGAATCTTTATAAAAATATATAAACCATTTTACCTTGGAATAGTTCGGGTGCAGCATATGGAGGACTACCGCAAAATGTATAAAGTTTACCACCAGGTGTAAATTCATTGCTAAACCCAAAATCTGCTATTTTTATGTTCATTTCACTATCCAGTAATAAGTTTTCAGCCTAAAAAAAAATGAAAATATAATTAGGTACTTCGTGCATATAAATGATAATTATAACAATATGTGATTAAGTTACCTTTAAATCTCTGTGTATGATTCTTTTTTGATGGCAGTATTGGACTGCTGAAACAATCTAAAAAATTCATATTTTTAGCATACATTTTTATTTGAACTGTTTTGGTATGGTGCATACTTGTCTAAATTTGGCTCTTGCTTCTTTTTCTCTCATGCGCCCGTGTAATACCAAGTAGTCAAATACTTCACCTCCACTAGCATATTCCATAACTAAATATAGTGTTTTTTCAGTTTCTATAACTTGTAATAATTTAACTAAAAACAACAACAATAACAATAATTATTAAATGTAAGTGACTTAGAATAAGTTAAAGAGTTGGCAATATTTTTTGTTAGGCATTTCATTACTCACCTATGTTTGGATGGTCCAACATTTTCATTATTCTAACTTCTCTAAAAAGCTGTAAAAAAAAAAAATACAATAAAAATAACCGACCATATTGTATAATTATTTAAATTAATAAAAGCCAACAATAACGTACTTTTTGTAAACTTCCTGGTAATAATTGAGTTTTATCAATGATTTTAATCGCGACCTACAAACATACAATAGTTACAATTTCCAGTTGGCTGATTTTACGATATTATACATCGACAAAAATGACATTTACCTCCTTCCCGGTAGGTACATGTTTGGCTAGTTTGACTTTGGCGAAATTGCCTTTGCCGATGGTTTTGAGCAGTTTGTACTTGCCGATGTGCGGCTCTTCCGATGAACGGCTGCGAGACGATCCGCGTGTACTTGTCACTGTAGAGGCACCACTGCCTCCACCTACTCCTCCACCACCACTTCCAACTCCTCCTCCTCCTCCTCCTCCTGTGGAACTATTTGTGGCCGCATCACTGCCCTGTAAAAAGCAAAGCAGACACAAATTTAAAACACAATCTATACTATATTCTACACGTTTCATAGATAATTAACAGAATAAAAAATCTAAACCTCGACGTATTGGATACGTACATACAAGACACAGATGTACAACAGCTGACGTACCCATTATCTATATTATCCGTATTAAATATGTATAATAAAATCCTAATAATAATATAACATAATTTTATGTAGGTATGATGTATGGATCATATTTTTTGAACAAACACGCGTGTGAAGCTTATTTTGTTAGGGTTTTATTATTTTTTCTGTTACACATTTCTCCGTAATGTCGGCCTATTTTCGAACGAGGTGTTCCTCGTCTCCATGTAATCATAAATATAATTTTCCAATAATATACGGACGGAGAGAAAAGAAAAGAAAAGTGAAAGCGCTCCGGCGGAACAACGTGCCGACTACAAAAAAACCCACCCAGCTACAACACACACGTTACAGGTACACGCGCCCCGCCGAATACCCAAAAGAATTACAAAAAAACGCTAGTCCGGACACGCATACGCTAAGGTTGAGGACGAATTGAATTGCGTCACATACGCGAAAATTCGATACGGAGGGCAACAGATCCCAACTAGCCCTCGGCGGCTCTACTTATGAGTTGTGGCCGGTATTGGGAAATCGGTTTCGACACGCCACGGCTACTCAACTGCGTGAAGAAAAAAAAACGTTGGGCTGTTATCCCAGCCCAACTATATTTGGTTGTGTTTGTCATATTGCGCAATAGCGAGTGACGTAGATATATTATATTTTAAATATTAGTTGTAAGGAGATGATTAGACATTTCGTTTGTCTGGTCTTTAAAGGCAAAGCAACAACATAAATATGATTTACCTTTTGTCGTACAATTTTTTAATAATATGGACTACATACGTGGATACTATATAGTTTATAATATAATGATTCCGTGAAAACATTTCTTTCAGTATGGAAAAGTGTCCAGACAGGTAGAAAAAATTCAGCGCAAATAGGAAGTCCCCCCCCCCCCATATTGGTCATCTCAAAAATATATAAACAGTTCTTTGAGTGACAATTTTAACAATATTATTATCGCTCAAAAACGCGTCACACCGCAGTTACTGAAACGTCACCAAGGGTACATCCGTCATAGAGCTTCGCGTTTTCATTTCGTGTACGATGTACCTATGAATATGATGCGACAGATTACGAATCTCGTTAATAATAAATTGAAATAATTTGTGTACACACGACATCGGCGGGACAACTGCCGGACGAGCAGAGAAATAGCGGTTAGCGGGGAAGCAAAAACAATAGTATTGTTTGTTATCGCTGCGCCGTAAAAAAATTATCACCCGACACACAGCAAACGGAAGACCCCCCCCTCCCATCGGCTGTACTCAGTCGTTTTTATGTACTGTTACAAAACTTTTAAAAAAAAGTAACAAATATGATGATTAATAATATCATAAGCTTAATTCACCGACAATTTCCAGCAGAGATGTTTTATCATCACACATTTTATTATTAGTGTATGCGATTTTCTATGAATTGAACGTTTTTAACAATATTTTTAAATAATTTAATACGTCTGTAAGATACACGCGTACTTAAAACGCACGTCATTTAATACAAAGACAAGCGACGATCATAATAATATACCAAAGCCTTACACGATTATAATATAACAAGGGTAATGAAATGCCAATATCAAATATTGCAAAGAGCATTTACCTATTTTCCATAAATATATTATATGACATACATACTAGACGCACATAATATATTTTATAGATATAGGTGCATAGAAATGTCGATCATGACGTAGAATTTCTCAGACAGTTGGCTGTAAGATCGCCTCGGCGGGTTGGTAATACATTTTATACGGCTCTACGGTGAAGCCGATTACAAACATAGAGTAACTCAAAAATAAAAATAAATGAAATATGAATAATGGATAAATACGTAGGTATACAATAAATGCACGATTGAACAGTATGCAAAAAAAAAAGAAAAACAAGAGATAAAATCGGAAACGCCATAGAAACTAACCAATCCATTATACTCGTTTTCCGTCAATACGTAGACTTATGAATAAACGCACACAAAAAACACATAAAAATAAGACATGTCATTTTAAAATACGTTTTTCGGAGAATAACACTATGGGATGATGTACAAACAACATGTAATATTAAAATACATATCCCTCTTCAGAGCCGGCACATCACCGTGTCGTGTTGTGTTTCACCTACCTATGTTTTATAATTTTTTGTTTGCGAACGTCGCTGAAAACGTCTTTCGACCGACTTTCCGTGAACAATAATAATTATTATTATTATTCTGTTTCGTCCGGATATACACACACACAATACACGATGACGACACACGCCTAACCTTATCCTGTGGGCAGAAATGGGTTAGGCGGAGGGAGGCCTTTGTCCAATGAGAACGATATTGTTATTATTATTATTCTAACGACTATAACACAATGATCGGAACGGCGAGCAGCACACGGGGAAAACGAACACCGGAAAACCGCGGGGCAGCAGATCGATCGTTTCGTACACACACACCTCACAACACATGGATATTATATTAAATTATATAATAACAATATTATTATTATACTTTTTTTTATGAGTTGGCACCGTTGAGCAAAACCGCGTAACGACGCGGCACCGACACACTATGGTCGGTGGTGTCATGATAATTATAACATTAAATGCATTATATCATCACGATAATCTTTGTGCGCGAATCGTATACTATACGGTTTAATGATTTATATTTTATTCCACACACATTTTCGAGGCCGACGATAGCAACTGTGTATCGCACTCGCGATACCAGCGCAACGAAAGTAACCCGACACCGGCGATTTCGCCACAAACCCGAGATAACGATAGTGGTGATGATGATAATGATGACGAATAAATGTGGTAGAACGCACTGCTAATTATAGGTAATAATGATAATATTAATGATATTATTATTATATACACAACGCGGTTACGACACAAGCCGTACCACACGGCAAATGAGGTAATAATAATTAATATTAGGTAAATACCAATAATATTATAATTCCACATTTTACACGTCTGGAACTGTCGCTGGAGACTAGTCGACTTATCGCAACAGTAGCAGTGGTATCAGGTTATAAGTTACAACGGCCTGATGCCAAATTCAAACTCTACATACCACGGCCACCGTCGCCATAATATCGAAAGTGTCAACATTAACTAGTCGGAAGATTTAACTTTAGGTGCATTGTCTATGGTCGTCTCGAGAGCATAATTAATCTTAGGTTCCTATCAACAGTATTATAACATTTTACACGTCTGGAACTCGCGCTGGAGACTTGTCGACTAATCGCAACAGTAGCAGTGGTATCAGGTTATAAGTTACAACGGCGTGATGCCAAATTCAAACTCTACATACCACTGCTACCGTCGCCATAATATCGAAGATGTCAACATTAACTAGTCGGAAGATATAACTTTACTAGTTTAACCGAGTTTTTTTCCATTGATTTACAAATGAAAGCTTAAATTTAGGTACATTGTCTATGGTCAACTCGAGGGCATAATTGGTTTTAGGTGATTACCAATTATGTTATATTAACACATTTTACACGTCTAGAACTCTAGCTGGAGACTATTCGACTTATTGCAACAGTAGCCATGGTGTCAGGTTATAAGTTACAATGGCGTGATACCAAATTCAAACTCTACACACCACAGCCACCGTCGCCATAATATCGAAGGTGTCAACATTAACTAGTCGGAAGGTATAACTTAACTAGTTTCCCTGAGTTATTTTCAGTTGTTTACAAATAATTCATCAAGTAAAAATTAAACATCATGTTTTTGACGTTTCTGGTTTAAATGGTTTGATACATTAATTAATTACTGCGGATACAATAAACGCGGTTTTGAATTTTAAAAAAATCATCAGATACCTTAATAATAGTAACTTTATGTAAACTTTTTAATAACATAATATAATACATAATAAATAAGCACGAAATTCTTTGAATGTAATCCACTTACTAATTAAAAGAGTAGACTAAGTTTTTCTAGGCTAAGTTAGTATTTTTTTCCATATTAACTTCCAACTTAACGATCTGGTGTTCACAAACTTAATTATTTGCAATAACTTGCCAGCTTTTGGATAACATATTCCCATACGAATCATCGCAAGAGAGATGATGACCCCGCCATGGCGGCCGACTGTGGTGATTTATCAATCGCGCGATTGTTGATAAGAAATGGAATGTTTTATAATAAAATATTAAGTGTCAAAGATAGAAAATAAATCTCTTCAGTTTCAGCCTTTCATTCAGATTTGGGTCTATTGTCTATGGTCGTCTCGAGAGAACTGCAAGCGAGTGGCCCTCTGGCATAGATTCACTTTGATAGGTCAAGTGGGTGATTTCCACCCCTTTACATCGACCGGATCCAACAAAACAAAGATCAAATGTTCATTGTTCAACCGCAGAACAATGAGAATTATTGTGTTTCTGTGGTCTTTCGTGTAGCAGTGACATAATATAAAATTGTAAACAATTACCAAACATACATTTTAGATCAAAACTCTTGAGTACTAGACTACAACGACGTAGAGCCATTTCGAAAAGGTCGTGCAGTGCGAGACGAAATAGGCGTCGTCGGATCGGACGAGTGCAGCTTTACGACGAAGGCCGGTGTGCACAATATAAGTCGTTGTACACACACGTCGCGTCGTATCGATTTATTTGTTTCGCAGTTGGTAAAAATAATAAAATTAGTCATGGCAGCGCGCGTCCGTGTATTATGCGACGTCACGAGTCGGACGACAAACGACCACGTCTTTTTATGGATATGTTAATGAATCACGCCGCTCTTTTACAGGGAGCTTACGCACGACGGACCTCATATTAAAATATTATTATATTCTCGGCGTCGACAAAACGGACACGCGGCGGCGGCGTCGACGAATAAATAAATAACACGATATTAC